CAGTTAAGTGAACACCTACACCCTAATCCTATGAATATGCTCTCCCACCGATGAAAGTCTGTCAGTCAGCCACTCCTTGCCTTTATCCTCCCCATTTTGGGATATCCGATTTCTATACTGCCCACTTACATCAACCCCGTGCTCTGAGGAGACAATCACATTCTTTGATATGAAGAATCTTCATTCCAGTTGGAACCTTGTGAGTCTGCATCCATGAGCAAAGTCAAATCAGAACAGGCCGTGCACAAAGTCAGCAACAATATGCACCAGTTCTCATGTTGAGCTGGAGGAGACGTGGAAACCCATGCCTGTGGTGAGACACTTCCACTGCCACTGGCTCCACAAGGCCCGTGATCCTGTGACCTGTGATCTTCTTGCACTTGGCATCATTGCATGTGCTTCGTGAGTGAGTCGAAAGAGGAATTTATGGACTAGTATCAGACGTATGGGCTAATATCAGATTTAAGGACTTGATTTGGATGGGGCTGGGCTGTTTTCTCAAGATACTGTTGCTCTTTGAAATAAAGCTCTTTCTTGCACACATGAGTGTCTCTGAATTTGTTTCTCTAGTCAACCTGGACTAACACGGGGGATCTACTGACAAAATTTTAACCACCTATCATTTAGGGTTTGTTTTTTCCTTGTTGTATTGTTGCATTTGTGCATCTCATCCTTATGTTTTCTGAAAACTGGCAGTTCAGTGTGGAGACCTGGTTATGTTTGAATTTCCATTGCAGCCACCACCAGAGACTCGGTGCGTCCTGCACTGTTCTCCAGTTACCCTATTGCTTGGGCTGCTGGGGAGGGTTGGAGCGTTTACTGCCTTCTGATTAACCAGCGCTCTCTCTTGAACAGGATGAACTGACCGCTGTGAATGTAAAACAAGGCTTCAGCAATCAGCCTGCCTTCAGTGGAGACGAACATGCCTCTGCCAGAAATATTGTAATCAACCCATCAAAGGTAATTAACCCATCAAAGGTAACAATGCCCGTTGTCTTTTTCTGTGGAAGTGTGTGCCTGTCACGGTGGCCTTGGTAGGTATTTAACGCCGATAAATTTAGACGTATGTGACTTATCATCCATGTTGGAACAGCCTCCAGACGGCAGGTACAGATGTCTGTCCTGCCCGGGATCCAGTCATATGCATCTTGCCCTTCTTTGGTGGTCACCTCCTTTCATCTGGAAGAGCAGCTCCACCATTTCTGTGTTTTCCAAAAACAGTCTTTTACGATGATTAGTTTAGAAAGGCCCGGGCTGGTTATTTGTCTTGTATTCTGGTCATATGGTCTGCATTTATCCAGTTGCTTCTGAATGGGAGCATTCCATTTCTACGTTTCTGGTGGGACTACTCCTGGGACACGTATATTTCTTACTGCATCACTTTAGGAGGAAGGAAACTGTTAGGCTGGGCTGACGAGAGACACAAACCCAGGAACACTCCTCCACGTGTAAGAGAGAGCGTTGCACGTATGCTCTGTCAATCTTCCCAGGTGCAGGCAGCCTCTTCCTTGTTCCTGTGGAGCGGCTGTTGGTGTTCACTTGCAGCTTTGGGGTTAGCATTCTATCCCGTGCCTGACAGTGCCACCAGTGCTCAGTAGTGCTTCCTCGTATCGCCTTCGTACTATCCTTTTGATTTCGAGTGGCTCTTTTAACATCTCATGTGTTGTTCTTCTCAGCCTCCGTTCCTCCTCACCATTAGTATTCATTTCACTCCTCTCTCCTTTCCTCTAAAGCCCAGGGTTCCAGGGTCTTCAGTTGTATTGGTTTCGTTTGTCTCTTGTCTCTTTGTTGTAGTGTCTGGATACTGGCCGTGCTTAGTCCACCATGTTGCCGGAAGTCCTGTCCACAAACTTTTTGAAGTCATCTCGTATAGTTGATAGTTTGACTCTTCCAATTTTGTACCTTAACAATGTCAGACAATACGGAAATATTTTCTGTAGATAGTCTGTTGTCCTAACAATATTTTTACTTTTGATTTGAATTTTGTGTTTTTCTATCAATACTCTTTATCTTTGTTACTTTTGATGGAGTTTTTACATTACGACCATACTTTGTAGAAGCTACTTGTGTCCTGCATTTTAAAAATGCCTTCTTATTTTGCATGACCTTTCCCTTCTAGCTGAAATGGTCTTATTGTTAATAATTAATAGATACTTTTTCACTCTTCGCATGCAAGAATGGATTGAACCAACAGTATGAAATAATTAGCATGCTACCAGGGTGTCACACTTGTTTGCTGAGAAGCTGCAGTCCTAGTTGAATATACAGCTTCTGTTTTTCAGGATAACTTCCTGGAAGTATATTATTTGGTCAGAGTATGAATGCTTTGTGTCTTTTGATCTGAACTGCCATATTGTTCTCCAAGTTCCGTTGAGGTTTATGTCAACTTTAATAACACGGCAAATGAAAAGCATTCCAGTGTGTCTCCTATTGCTCCGTCCGTGCTCAGGAGATGCTCTCAAAGAATAGCCAATCCAAGCCATAGGGATTGTGCTTTGTAAATATGAAATTTATGAACTATAATATAGTTTATAAACTATATTTGGGCTATATTATAATCTAGCTCATAAACTCTAGTTTTTATTAATTGAACTCTTTTCAAAATAGTTTGAATGGATAAAATACTTTTAAAATAACATGGCAATTCATGCCCTGTTTGAGGAAGTACACATTAAAATAACCCACATGGACAGTAACTGTATCCATCACAAAATGGTAGACTATGCATCTTTGAATCTAGTGATCAGAATTCTAGAGTGTTACTCTAAAACTATCCTTGCACATATCCTATATAACAAATGAAAAAGGTCGTTCATTTAGACGTGATTTGTGACAGTAAAGTATTAGCCCAGATGTTCCAAGTCTCCACGAACAGGGGCCTGAGTCAGTCACGTGCCACCCATCGACACAGTGCGGTGTGACGTGTCTGTAAAAATGAACAAGGAGGCTCTCTGGGCGCCGATGGGGAAAGCTCTCAGACATTTGTCAGATGAGCTTAATAACCTGTACGCGCCAAAAGGACACGCATAACTCAGGTGTGTTTTTCCTCATGTGTGTTCACACCCAGAAACACTGGAAGAACACACAAGAAACGTACCTTCGTGCTTCCTTGGAGGCACGCATTGGGACTTGGGACTTTGGCAACAAGACTTTTACCCTGAAATATTTTGTGCCTTTTGAAATCTGAAAAAATACAAACCCGCTGCCACTAAGTAGATTCCAACAAAGCTGTACATCCTTAAGGAGGCAAACTGCTCCGTATTTCTCCCATGGAGAAACTTGTAGGTCGGAATCACCTATCTTTATAGCCCCTCCCTGCCGAGTGCTTGACCACTGCACTGCCAGGACTCCTCGCCTTTTGGTACAGTGTGGAGACTTACATTGTTGTTAGATGAAGATTAAATCAATGACCATGTCTAAAGTATGAGTGGCCCTCTCCTTTTCTCCTCCCTCGGTTTCTTAGGAGTTCTGACTTTGCTTACAGCACGCAATTGTTCACAAGATTTGTTTGCAGGAATTAAATATGCACTCCCACCATGCTGTTTTGCTATCATTAAGTACATAGAAGAGAGTATAATCATATAATGGATGGCTCAGACATGAGACCAATTATACCTTTGTTTATTATAATTAAGCAGCTTATATACAATTGCAAAATAAGATACCTTTTAAATATAAAACAATTCTACACAGGTATGTGTTTGGAGCCCTCGCAGCAAAGAACAAGTATCAGTCGAGAAATTTAAAATTAAACATTTGGGCGGCCGTTGGCTGCTTGAGCACAAACAGTCGGTTCTGCTTGAAGTTCTGTCCTTGGTTTATCCAGGGGTCGGACACTGTGCAAACATTTGTTTCCGACGGCAGTCACCGAGCTTTGTTTGGGGTTGTTACGGCTTTCCCCCTTCTCCCTAAGTACTCAAAGTTTTCATCTCCTTTAACACCCGCGCACCGAAAAACCATTTTCTTTTTATCATACATACATCGCAGGAGTCAAGGAATGCCCATTCACAGTTTAAAAAACACAACATCTTTTCACCTGGGCACCTAAGCCTGGCCAGTTGCTTATAACTGTGTTCCAACCTGTGGATTGTCTGTTGGCTTCTGAGCACTAAGGCATAACTCCTTCTTGTCACCCCTGGAGCAGGTTCTCCTCATTGTGGTTGCCAGGCGGATTTGCTCACCTGGTTGGAGTATTTATTAGCAGTTGCTTACTGGAATTTGGTTTTAAAGAATTCCCATGGGCTCAGAGGTGATGCTATTCTAGGAGTCCTGATAATTCCCCCAACTTTTTTTTCTTTCAATGTTTCCTTAATTCTTAGGTTTGACTTCCCTCACTTCCACCCAGTCCCTTCCTCGTCGTCGTCCTTCCTGTCCCCTTCCGGGGGTCCCTCTCTCCTCTGTATTTGGTTTGATTAACCTGAAAGTGATACAGTGATTCACAGCCGCTCCCTCTGCTAAACTTTGCCCCATTCCAGAGCAGGCGGCTGTGGCTTTGCTTGAAGCTAAGGCTCCATGCAGGTGTATTCTAGATCTACCTTAGTAGATGTAAGGTACTATGTACCTTAGTAGATGACACCAGACACCTACATTTTAATAAGATTCGGGCTCCACACAGGTTTATTCTAGGTCTACCCTCTGCCTAGCTACCCTAGGTAGATGACATCAGACACCTACATTTTAACAAGATCCAACCCCGCAGTGAATCCTACGGATACAAGAGAATATTATGGGATAAAACCAGTTCGGCACCCTGCTTGAAAACCACTTGCGTGCAACCACCTGGCAGCCCAATCAAAAAACGCGGAACACCTATATTAAACGGAACCTTTGTACTTTGCCATTAAAACGAACTACATTTTGCTAGACTTGTTTGACACAGCACTAACTGTAAACACAGAGGAGTTCCTCTCCATCAGTAGGTGCATTAGAACGAAGCAAGACCATTGAGTAGGAACTGGGCACCCTCGGCTCCGTCTGCAGCCCATCTTGGGGAAGACGCGCTCTCCACATGGGTGTGAAGACGAAAAGGGAGAAAGTGCAGCGGAAGATGAAAGCAGAAAGCCTCCTCTTGAAGTTTACTCGGGGTGTAATTAATTTCATCTTGCCAGAGATTTCCAAGGCCTCTTCTTCTTTTCCTTTGAACTACTCTATAGTGGAACAAGGTGCTATGAGGTTTCACATCACATTAGTATCAGGAAATCACAACTCTTGGCTTCAGTGGCTTTGAGCGCTGTTTTATTTTAAGATGGGCTATATGAAGCTTTCAATTAAAGAAAAAAGATAAAATATGAAGATGAGCTCTTAAGATTGGTACTGATTATTGTCTTTAACCCTCCACCCCTTATGTTTCTATAGATTGGAGCTTATTTTAGCAGCATATTAGCTGAGAAACTAAAGCTGAACACCTTCCAGGACACCGGCAAGAAGAAACCTCAAGTCAACGCGAAAGATAATTACTGGCTGGTGACTGCGCGATCTCAGAGTGTCATTCATAGTTGGTTCTCTGACTTAGCAGGAAATAAGCCGCTTGCGATTCTGGCAAAAAAGGTATGAACGCTTCCTTACGTTGCTTCAACCTGAGTCTTGTAAGGAGATGTTTGCGACCACCTTCCAATGTATGCTTCTTTCCCCCCAGCTCTCCCCAAACCCACGACTCTCAGAGCAGGCACGCCGCCTCGATGGGCGATGTGCAAGTGTGCCGGCTTCCCCTGTATTCTGATTCCAGGTGGTACCTGTGTTGCCGTATGCTGTCTAGGTGGTTCTGATGCATCACAGCCTTATAGGACATAGTAAAATTGCCCCCTAGGGTTCCCGAAACATTAATTTTTAGGGAAGCACATCCCCTGGTCTTTGCTCCCACAGATCCATAGAACATCTGTAAACCTGAAAATTCTACACAGGAAGCAGCTGGTGTGGACTGAAGGCTGCCATAAGACTTCTTTTTTTGTTTTTCTTCCCATGTGACATTTTCAGTTTTCTTAGGTCAGTGAGTTTATGTATCAGAGCAGTGGGTCGAGACCCCTTTGTGTGTGTGTGTGTGTGTGTGTGTGTGTGTGTGTGAAAGGCAACCCTTTCACGGGGTTGCCTAAGACCGTCTGAAAACACATGGCTTCTGATGGTCTTCGGAACTGAGACACCACTCCTCCATCGTCTCCAGGCGGGTGGGTGCACGTGCAGATGCGCCCACAGACGAGTACCCGGTGTGAAGACTGCGACGTGTGCTGCACCACACTTCAAGACAACAGTTCAGTTACTTGTCATTAGAAATAACTATTTCACAATATAGAATTACATACTGTTTTTGTGACCAATCACTATGCTTTAATGATGTTCAATTTGTCACAATGAAAATACATCCTGCCTATCAGATATTGACATGACGATTCATCACAGTAGCAAAATGACAGTGATGAAGCAGCCAGGAAAATAATGTTATGGTTGGGGGTCACCACCACACGAGGAACCGTATGAACGGGTCTCGGCATTACGAAGGTGGAGGACCAATGTATCAGAGATCCCTGCTTTGGATCCTTGTCTCCCAAAGTCACCATCATGCTTTAAGCTAAGTCTCCTTGCTACTGAACATGATAAAGATTGCGATCCAATGGGTGTTTTTTCTTCCAAAAAATTTTCCAACAGTACAGGTGAGTGTGTAGATCGCTTTATTGCGGGGAGGAGTTGTTCTAAAGTCTCTGCCTTCGATCCTGTTCCTGATACGGGAAATAATAATAATAATGCAGGTGCAATAATCCTGTTGTCCAAATGACAGGGAGCCATCCTTTGAAGTGTAGATAGACAAGGAGCCACCTTCTTTAGTCTCGGTCTCTGAGGTCTTGCAAGCCCTTTGGTACCTATTGGTCTGTTTCATCTCCTTTGAAGCCCTTTCGTTGCAAGGCTATGCCCACCTTCTATTTCTGATACTAGGTTTCCAGACACCGGCTTAACACAGCCTGCGTTGAGGAGAGCATCTCTGTATTTTCCTTGGTGGCTTAAAAACCAAAAAAAACAACTCTGAAAGTAGTGCTTGTTGTTCCCTCTGGCTCTATTGTACTCGAGTCCTAGCATGGCTTTGCTTTCATAGATCTCAGCGCTTCCAGACAACCGAGATTCTTGAGAAGCCCAGCAACCTGTGCATCGCCTTTTCCCACCTGGTTGGTTCCACTGTGCCCCCTTGGGCTGAACCGAGTAGCCTTTCCTTGCCGAGGCGAATAGTCCCTCTGTGATCCCAGGGTGGCCCATGGCTTGTACATACGTGAAGGTCATGTACACTATGGGTGTACTTCATGATCGGATGAAATTTTTTAAAAAATTTACTAATATGCCTTAGTTTCCATGATAGTTAGTATCAACCACTCCCATGCAGCCAGCTAGATGTCTTTTCATGTTTCCTATAAGCCCTTAGCATGCTTAATAATAAAAAACAGTGCTTTCTGAAAGTAAGGAATCGGTGCCTTTATTTCAGGGGTGAAGTGGTCACTCATCTTTTCAGAGAAAACGAGCTGTGGTGCATTCTATTGGCGGCGGGTCCTCTCTTTATCAGGAGCTGCCCCTGGCCCAGTCAGGTGTGCCTCGTGTTAAAAAAAGAAAAATCCAAGGGGGTCTTCTCTAATGTCTGTGATCATTGGCGAGCTCGCCTAAGTCGGACGCCAATGGGCTTTCGCTGCGAAGATCCCGAGACGTCGTCCACCTCGGATCAAGGTTTCAAAACCGTTTTTTGCACAGGCTCGGATCAAGTTTCGTGACCTGGTTTTCCGTTTCAGCAAAGCTCCGTGTTGCTTCAAGGATTTAGCTAGAGAGAGGCCAGCGATAGCCTGCCAAGGACCTTTTTTCTTCAATCACAGTCCGAACGGAATTTGGAAACGGACACTCGGGTCCCCAGGGATATTCTTCCAGCTCCATATGGCTCACACTTCACGTGACCCTGATGGCTGTGGTCTGTGGGGTTCCTGTTGCCATTATCTGCTCAGCCCGCGGAGTGCGTGGACAGAAACGTGCCTTTCGGGGAAAACTGATACGGGGACAACCCTTTTGTGGATGGCACAGCAGCACCACGAGGTGTCTCGTTTTCTTCTGGTACTTACAGGCAAGCCCCAGCTTGATTTAAAGACCAGACAGCTGCCAAGTAGTCGCCCAGGCTCAGCGACAAGTTAAAGTTAGATGATTGCTTTACTAAACCTTTAACCCGTGACTGTAAGTAAGGGATACATCAATCACGTAAACTTTCCCCCACCTCTTCCTGAAATCGCCCAAAATGATGCAATGGGCAGAGCCAGCAGTAGGTGCCTTCTTCTGTAATTAAGTAACTTGCTTAACAGATGTGCTCTTCCGCACTCTTAAAACCCTTGACGTAAGCCAAGCATTTCTCTTAGGGTTGAGACAGAGAGCAAGACTCTTGCCCTTGACCTATTCATACAGGCCGACTTCCATCTGTTGCTGCATCCAACCATTCCATGTGTTCAGATGTCCGGGTCCCTCGCCCCCGTCCACACACTTGCTGATGACCCTCGAGGGATCGCGGAGATACTTGGGGACACTAACTTTATTTCACACTTGCCTGTTTCCTAGCTGTCGATCTTGTAACTTTTTGTCAAGCTGACCTTAACAGCTGGCACTTAACCCGCTGGTATTATTCTGTGTCTACCCTGGTGGAAAGCAGCAACCTGATTATGGTGTTCAATATTTCAGACCGTGTTTTCCCCATCTCCAGCATAACCTCGGAGCCTGCGCCCCAGGAGAGTTGTGGCTTGCGAGTTAACTTTTCACGAAGTGCTCTTGTTTAAGGGTGCTGCGGTGATCTTGGCAGAGACTTGCTTCTCCCTCTTAGTTATGTTTTGCAGAGTGGCTGCTTCGGTTCTGAGACTCGTGTTCTATAGTCAACAACATGGCAAGGCTTGGGGGTGATCAGAGGTCCCTCCAATTGCCCATCGGATACATTCTGTGGACATGCTGCATCCCCGGGCCCAACCTAGACAGCTTTTCCTTCAGCGATGGAGTCACTCGGCGCATCTTTTGTAGGAACGAAGCTTGCTCGGAGGAGCCACGCACACGGCCAAAGCTATTTATCTTAAAACCAAACAAAACCCTAGTGTCACACTTTCACCACTGATATAAACAATCACAGTGCCACGGAACATGGAATGTACTCTATCCGTGGGCCATTGCGTGTCCAAGAGATAAGGGCCATGTTACGTGAAACTCGGTCGTTGACCAAACAAGCACTGAGCGCGCAGAGAGGCCAGCGTGCTGGCCTTCATTCGTGGCTTAGCTGTCTAGGATCCTGAGGAGAGAGGGTCAGGCCTCCAGTGTGCAAATACTTCCACCAGCCTGGGGAAAATCCTTGGAATGGCAGTAAAAGAATCACTTAAAAAAATATAAAAAGGTGTATATGTATAGATACACACACACGAAGTAGCCACAAAAATAATGTTATGGTTGCGGGGTCACCACACCCTGAGGAACTGTATGAAAGGGTCGCGGCATGAGGAAGGTGGAGAACCACTCCTTTAAGTGGTTCCTTGGGGTCCTATTTTGCAAAATTGAACCTTTGTGGTCTGGGAGAAAGAATGAAGAGACTCCGAGTACCTCCTTTTTCCATCCAGAGAAATTCACCACCTGGTTATTTCTAGCTCCTTGTTGAATAGGTAGATTCATGGATCCATCACTCGAATCTCTGTTTTAGGTTTGAGGTGCCAGGCACTTTTAGAAGCGTGCTGGAAATCCGTTATCCTTACGGCGCCATGTGTACCTGTCAGAAAGCTTCCTCCAAAAACAGTACCCCCAGTAAAATGACTTAGAAAAAGAACGATGGCAATATATGTACAAATAGGTCTGATACAATTGATACATGGATTGTAACGAGAGTTGTAAGAGCCCCCGATAAAATGATCGTAAAAACAATAGTGCCCCCAGTGAAACACAGCCCAGGCACGTTTCTGCCACATGGCCTGCTGCCCCTGCCGGTTTGGAGGTGACCTCCTGGGTGACCGTCACCAATTTTTTTTCCTCTTTGCAGTTTTGCTGAATAGCTTTCAGCTTGAAAATACGATCCAAGTATTTGACCAGTGTGCTAAATTAATAACTCTGACTCCCCCAGCCCCCACCCTCATAGTGAAGAGCTTTAACCCCCCCCTCCCCCCCTTCGACTGCATGCGTTGCTTGCAGATCCATGCAGAACATCCTCGCAGGCCGCTCATCGACGTGCGGTTCCGTCTTGCGCGAGCTCCCTTGGGGCCGGCCCTCGATGGCAGTGTGCGCGACTAAGCACAGCTGTGACTGTTTCTTCCAGGTTCCCATCCTTAGCAAGAAAGAGGACGTGTTCGCATACTTAGCCAAATACTCCGTGCCAATGGTGCGAGCGACATGGCTGATCAAGATGACGTGTGCCTATTACTCCGCCATCTCCGAGGCCAAACTGAAGAAGCGCCAGACGACGGATCCTAATCTGGGTAAGCGGGCGCCGCGGCACAGGGCCCTGCCACGTCTGACTCTCTGCCTCCTTCCTGGCCCAGCGTGGGGGGCATTGGAGAAAGGGTCCGCGGTGAGGATCACAGTTGACAGCGGGAATTCAGAGACTGTATGCAAGGGCCCACAGCCACGTGACACACAGTGACGAAAGTTGGAAGCAACTCAGGTTGGCAAATGGGTTACAAAAAAAGTGCATACACCTAATGGAATATCATTTGGCCATAGCTTGAAAATACTGTGCTGAGGGAAAAGTTCAGACTCCGTAGACTAAATATTGTGTAATTCCACATATGTAAAATGTGTCCGAGAGCCAAGTGCATGGTTTATTCATAGCTACCTGGCCTGGAGAAGGAGCCTTGGTGGTGTAGTGGTTTCTGGTTGGGCCAAGAGCCGCGAGGTCAGCAGTTAGAGACCACCAGTGGCTTGGCCAGAGAAAGAAGAGGCTGGCTACTCCGGTAAAGCCTTCCAGTCTTGGAAACCCGCAAGGGCAGTTCGGCTCTGCCCTATCCGCTCGCTATGAGTCCGGGTCGACTCCATGTCAGAGAGTTTGCAGTTTTGGGGAGACCCTGGGCTGGAAGGAGGGGGACATTGGGAGTCACTCACTGCCTCAGGGGGATGGGGCTTCTATTTAAGGTGATGGAAACCTGGGAAACAGGCTGTCTTCGCAAATGCTTCTCAACAACATTGTGAGTGTGATTTACCGCTACCCGATGCGGGTCAGGCATCCTTTGTAATAGCTAGTGAACCACAAAGAATCAAGAAGACTAAGGACATGGACGCTAACGAAGAGCCCACAAGGAATTATTAAGGGCGCCCATGTCCAGGGAAGGACAAACAATGAGAAACGGAGATTAACAATGGCTGCTTTCTCATTAGGCTGTTCTTTTCATACTACTCTGTTTGCTCGTTTTCCCCTCTCCTCGTACGGTTATTCTTTATTTTATTTTGGTGAGGGCACAAAGGAACCCCCCTTTAAACCATACGCCCTCATTATAAAATTTTCTATGGGATACAATGAAATATTTGCCCGTCTAGTCTCTCTTCCCGACCGTGTTTTTCCCTCAGCATTTACAGTGATACATGGACTCGCAACTCTGCTTCCTGTTCTTCTATATGAGCGCGTCTGTTGCATTCGGTAACCAGTTCTCACCAGAGTTTGGATTTCCGAGTGCTTACTAGCTGTGTTAGTCTGGGTAGACTAGAGAATCCAATTCAGACACTTGTGTGCATAAGAAAGAGCTTTAGTTTGACACACTGGATGAGTGTATGGATTGTGATAAGAGCGGTAAGAGCTCCCAATTAAAATATTTAATTAAAAAAAGAGCTTTATATAAATGAGCAATTGTACATTGAGAAAACAGCCCAGTCCAGACCAAGTCCCCAAGTCCGATATTAGCCCATATGTCCTACGCTAGTCCATATATTCCTCTTCAGACTCATGCAGCACATGCCATGATGCTGAATGGAGGACAATCACAGGCTCGTGGGCAGAGAGTCTTGTGGGTCTAATGGCATTTGAAGCCTCTCAATGCTGGCGCGGCTCTCCGCGTCTCCAGCTCTCTGAGTGTCTCCACAGCAGGAAAGGAGCAGAGAGACTGGGTCTCGCCTCCGCGAGCTATTTATCTCTGCCACGCCTCCAGATGAGGTCATCAAGCTGCGACCTGATTGGCAGGCTAGACGCCACTCTTTCGCTCAAGTTGACAGGAAGTGATGTAACTGCCACACTAGCCACCTCTGCCTGGGTGACTCACGGGCACCTGAAGCTCGGTTTTGTTGATCTTCCGTGAAGTTGACCTGGATTCATGAGGACTCCTGGGTAAGGGGCGAGAGCCCTTGTGCCCTGCTCCCTTCCCATGCTTGGTTCTGAATCAGACTCTTGTGAACCCCAAAGTTGTCAGTGGCCGATTTGGGGAAGGAGAGCCACGGTAAGGTGCCCGTCATCGTAGCAACACATCAGTTTCCGCTGATGGATGGGCGGTGAGTCCTTGCACGGGAGGTGAGAATTCTACCACCTGAGCTATCAGGGATGTATCTGAAACTGTGGACAAGGACGAGGGGGGAAACGTGAGAAGGTAGTGGAGCTTTCCCCACCAACTCGTGGAAGCCTCTTCATACGTGAATTCACAGTTGGGCTTGCTCACCCTTTTCCGTAGAGGACTTCTTAGGGAATGCTATATCGGGGATCGAGGTGGGTCAGGCCCCAAACCTTGCCTTTTTCGTGCTAGTCAAGCCATCCTGGGTTCCATCCCTGCGCACTCTGACCAGCTCTCGAATTCTCACGCAGCTTCCACTGCTGTCCCCTTGATGGGCCATGCCTCCTTTTATCTGTCCCATGCCGAACCCACAGGAGCCCTGGTGCCGTAGGGGTGACACAGTGGGCTTCTGGCTGCAAGATCAGCAGTTCAGTACCACTAGCCGCTCCGAGGGAGGAAAGACTGGGCTTTCTACTCCCATAGATAGTCAGAGTCTCAGAAACTTACAGGGACAGTTCTACCCCGTGGGTGGGGTCGTGATGGCAGTGCGTTTGTTGCTGGCAGTTTTGATGCCTAACCATTGCAGCCGCGTCTAGCTGATCTTTGCTTCTTTGCTTCTGTAAGGTGAACTATATCCACTTTGGAGCCAGAATGATCCTGTTCAGGCATCAGTCAAATGAGCCCTTACTGTCTCCCTGTGTTTATTACCCGAGGGCTCCCCTCATCGGGACCACAGGCCTGCTTCCCACTCACAGAGGCTCACATGGCCTGCCCATTGGCTTGCTGGCCGTCTGTCCGGACAGTGACGTCTCTTCTGATCCGGCAGCCAATGTGCCACTTCTCCATTTCTCGGTCTTGTTTTCCTGCATTGCTCTTAACCCTGCCTGCCATTCTGTCTGACACGGGGTCTGCGATCCTTGCCTCTTCCCCTCTGAACTGTGTGGCAGGCTCAGACTGAGAAGTAGTGTAAGACGTTGGAGACGGGACCCCTTGGTACAGTCTGACTGGGTTGTGTGCATACATACCCAGCACTGGCAAGCGCAGGTCCTTGGTTATTTTCCACAGAAGGTAGACAATCTACAGCAAGAACAGTCTACTTTTGGAAAGCAAACCAAACAGCAGGCGATAATCTGAAGTCAACGGGTCCAATGAACTCCATCGCTCTCCGAGCACCCCACTTTCGCATGGAGTGGATCACCACACTTAGGTTTGGAAAGGTGCCCACTGACCCCACCCAAGTTACCCAGGCTCTTTTGTGTGTACACCATAGGCCTCATGTCGGCAGGTAGGTCCCCCCTCTGGGTTGTCTGTGTGGGTTGGGCGTGGCACGGCTGTGTTTCCTCTCTGGGTGTCTCCTCTGCTGTTTCCTGGCTAGTTCTGGCTCTCCTCTCAGCCAACAGCTTTGGGGCAACCTGGGCCAGTGCTGGGGGTTACACTGGCATGGGGAAAGCTGTCGAGGGCAAACAGGAGCCCGCGTTGGGCTGCGGTCCGCAAGGCCACCAGCCGCTTCTCGGGAGAAAGACGGGGACTTTGTACTCGCATAACACAGTTACGGTCTTGGAACCTCATAGGGGCCGCTGTACCCTGTCCTGTAGGGTTGCTCTGAGTTGGCATTGACTCCATGCCAGTGAGGGTTTTTGTTTTTGTTTTGTGTTTTGAGGCAAAACTGTTTGATAGCTCCCTCCCTGACCTGCACAGAGAGGTG